AGTCGTCTTATACGCCCAGTCGTCTTATACGCCGGAAAATACGGTATATATAATCACCAGTGGCCAGTCTACACTAGCATTTTCCACCAGTGTTAGTACTGGGAGAGAAGCACCTGTGCCAGCATAGGGGTGGGGTGGGGTGGACAGAGATTTCCCTAAAGTATTCAGAGTAGGCAAGACCCCTGCTGGGAACATGAGATTAAGGAAATTTCAAATCAATGAGCATAATAACAGATCTGAGAATAATGATGCTGCTAGTTACTTTACTGGTGGAAGATAATCTCCACAAGATACTTATATGGCCCCCATTATGATAGCATCCAAGCATCTTCTCATGTATTTATCCTCACTGCACTTCCATTAGGTTAGGAAGTGCTATTAGCCACATATTATAGGTGGGAACTGAGGCATACGACACATTTGTGACAGAGCATGGACTTGAACCCGCATCTGCTAAGTCCTATACAAGCATACTAACCCAGTGAACTATGCTTCCACTCTATTTAATGTTTATAGTGATCACGTGTATGTGGCTAAACATGTTTTGTTCTTAGAACTCAGGTTTTTAGTAAGCAATTGATTTTACTATCATTAAACCAGCCAAAAGTAATAGCAAACGTGGTCTTCATCATTGGAGGCATTTTTGTACAATTTACTACAGCTGATGAAAGAATAAAAAAAAGTATGCACATACTATTTCCCATACATGGATTTATTTTCAGCTTCAAAATAAGATCAACCACTTTCTCCATGGAATGTGGATTAGGAAAAACAGTTTCTTATCCAGAAGTGCGAGTAATGTCCAAAGAGATAGCGTCTGCATTGGAAACATAATGCCTTGTATTTTTATCCAGCGCATTTGCCATAAAGCAACAGCTGGTTTGAAGTATCAGGAGAAGAAAATCAATTTGTCAGCTCAGCTGATAAAGCGGCCTGTTGTTGGTAGCATAAATTTCTTCATCGGGATGGCTTGGAACAATGGCCCTTTTATGATACATGGGTTTATCCACACATACTGCACTAGCAGCTGTCAGAGATGGACAGCAACAGTCCCACTTACCTTATGTCCTAGTTTGATTAAAATGCTCTTGTTGCCTTGTACGTGTCAGTCCCAAATTCTACTTTGACGATACCAAATGCTTGGGACCACATGTGTTTAAGTGAGACATTCTGTAATCTCATCATACAGTATAACCCAGAGAGGGATAGGGCATTTCACATTGTCACAATTGTGAATAAAGGCCAGATTTTCCTAGTATGGTTAGCAGTAATATTACAATAGCAGCGAGCGACTCCAACCAATAGTGGGGTCCCATTGTGCTATGCACTGTATAAACACACAGTAACAGACAGTCCCTGCCCCTAAGAGCTTGTGAACTAAATAGAAAGGATGGACAAAGGGAATATTTATATCATCATTTTGCAGATGGGGTGCAACTGAGGCATAGAGTAATTAAGTGACTTGTCTACGCTCTCACAGGAAACCTGTGGCATAGTCAGGAAATAAACCCAGATAAAGAAGGAGTTCCAAACTGGAGTGGTAAGCACAAGACCATCCTTCCTAGTTGCACCAATGCAAATGAGAGGTGATACCCATGGTATGACTTGAAAAGACATTTGACTATCAACCTATCTGTAGCTAATTATTTGTTGAGAAAACGCTATGGTAAGTATTTTTATGCCTGAGTCTGCAATTGCAGTATACATAAAACTATCTGATTTCAGAAGGGTTGAACGCACTTACAAGAAGTTTAAGCTTAGCCCATGTACTTCAGTAGGAATCTCTGCAAATAAGGACCACAAGTTATGGCCCATGTTATATGAATGTATGAAATAACAGTCACATCATCAGTGCTTCAGTGACACTCAAATGTGATTTCAGCAGGCATTTCTGGG